CGAAGCTCCGGAGGGATTCATCGGTAAACTGTGAATCTTCCGTGTAATTCGGCCAGTCGATCATCATGTAAAGACGTGAGAAACGCTGTGTGTGTATATACACAAATCAACTTTTATTTGTTCTTAGACGATGGACGGCTTGCGATGTCCCTTGCCTCGCGCGCTCGCACATCGGGATTCTGTCTGCGAGCGCGCGCTGCTGCCGCCTTGCGCTCTCTCCGCTGTGCAGCCTTATCCATCCGGCGACTCCGAGCGCGCGCCAACAGCGAACGGATTTTATTACAACGCTTCCCCTAGCGTACGTCGCCGCACTAAATCGAACGATTGCCTTCAACCAATGACACGCGCCATATGTGACATCATTCCTATTATATAAGATCTCACGTCTTTCATCGACTACAAGTACCGCTTTCTAGTTTATAACATCTTGCATCTTTTCATCATCAGATACAAGTACCACCATCTAGTAAACACTACAAGAACTAAACGAGAGGTGGCTACATACAGGAGACGGTACCGCCATCTAGTGAACACTGCAAGAACTAAACTAGAGGTGGCTACATACAGGGGACGGTACCGCAATCTAGTGAACACTGCAAGAACTAAACTAGAGGTGGCTACATACAGGCTACAGGGGACGCACAACCCACGCCCTAAGGAGCTTCGCCCCTAAAATAGTGACCATCCCTTTTATGCTTTTACTTTCACCTTTTTGAAGTACTTTTTTCAATAAGCACGAAATGTGATACCTTGAACAAGAATGTGCAAAATTTATCATTATCATGGGCACTGGCTGCCAGCATATGAATTCGAAGTAAACGTTTCCAAAGCTATTTTTCTCAGAAAAAAAAAAAAAGATTATGTTGTCTGTCATTTCCTCTGCCAGTTTGTGACGGATCTTGTGGCGGAGTTTTCTGAACCCGACGCACAATGGTACATGCGTGCAGAATGGAATATTTATCAATTTACTCCTGTCTTGAAGTATCAGAAAGAGGTGTCATATATGCTTCCTCCCATGTTTCCATTGCGTTGGTACCACCAGGAAGTGCAACAGTAGAAATGAAGCTGAGCATTATTTGAGTGCGCTAGCCTTTTTCTCCAATGGACGGCGGCGAGTTAGTTTGGAAGAAGATTGCGGCAATAGGTAGAAGCACAACCTCCTTCCTGTACACAGGCCGCAAAGAAAGCAAGCGTGCGCCTCCAGACCGGCCGCAGGTAGATACAGTCGGGACAATATAGAGAAACAATTGCTTGACTTAGATGAACAAACTGTGGTCTGAGAACTCTAATGCTACAAGTTTCACTGTCATCATTTCATTAATAATGAATAAAAATCAAGGTCAAAATTTCAATGTTAAATTTCGTGCTTAAACATTTCCCAAGGTGCGACAGCTGAACTAGAATTTAGAGCAATTTTCAAAGCAGCAAAATGTTACTTTTGGAGCACTAAAACTCAAATTTGGAGCAGGTTACAAGCGAAAAAAACATTCATTTTTTTACCACAAAAGACCGAATTTCGAGCAGCTTGAGAAAGAAGGCTTAGATTTAAAATATATATATATGTGCAAGCCATTTAACATTCCCTAAATCATGCACAGTGAATATGAGCACTCCTATTTCAACATATAGTATTTTGTTTAATCACCCCACTCGGCAAGCAATCATGAGGCCCACATTAGAAGTCACCAGGCCTGTCAAATCGTTTGAGAATTCAAATGTGGATTTCCCAAGACGGTGACCATGAGATTCCTAAAACTGGAAAAAAACTGATTTTTGACAGCTGTAGAGATGTCATATTGTACTTCAAATAATTTTGCCAGTAACTTTTCCTACTCACAAATATGTGGCATATACATACATCAGTCATTGAACAAACTGTGCAGTGTCTAGAGACTACAACTATAAGCCCCTTCTAAATATTATAACGCTTTTCCGCAGGCCACCCATGTACTATGGCGAAGGTGGCTTAAGCAGTGTTTTTGCACAGGTTAGAACAAGACCAAAAAATTTTCAAACCACAACCCCCCCCCTCCCTTCATTTTTTTTTTTTCATGGAGGAGTACCAGATAAAGTAATCTGGTCAAACCATTGCTAGACCAACCCGCCAATGGCACCGGATATCTATCGCATATGGTGTTGCTATGGCAACTGACGTCACGGCATGAACTAACGCTGGCAGTGTACAAGCTCGATGTGCTGAGAGTTTGTACACTTCCAGCTTTAGTTCCTAATGGATCCTAACATGCCATGGCAGCACTTGCTGACTAGAAAATTCATATTTCCAACAAAGTGTTGCTGGCTACGGCAACACATCTTTTGTGTTGTAGTTGCGTTGTCCCGCCAGTAAATATATCTGCTGCGGTCAGCAGACCGACAGGCACGCGGCGTTGTAACTTCATCTGGTTGATAGAGTTTCGCGAGTGTCTTGAACTAATAAGCAGCTGTTTTACACTGCGGTTTATGGTTAGGGTCTGCCCGCATAGATTGATGATGCAAACTACAAGTGGCTAAAGTGGTCTCCATTTCTCGCTCAAATTAGGGCAAACGAGAAAATTTTGAGGCTGGTCGGGCATTTTGGCGCAGCGTGGCACCATTTAGGCAAATTTTATGGTTTTGGCACAGCTCGGCGCACAAATGAGAAATTTTATCAAATTGACGCAATCAGCGCAGCTGTTGCACCCCTGCATTTGAGCATCACGTAGCAAATTTCAAAATGTCTTTTTCGTATTTTCATGACATTGGCTCAATGAAATTTTCCAACTATCGTATGCTAGGTCTAGCACCCACTGAACACAATGTACTTCATTTTTAATGAGCAGAAGCTATGTGGGGACCCCTCCAGTAGACGCCTTCAATATTTCCTACGTCACTGTGTTTGGCACGGCAATATCAGTAGAATCTCCACCCAAATTTTCTTCTTGCATGTTTTTTCCGTTGCCGAGCATCATGTCGCCGCAAGAGAAAGTTTGTCGGATAGTGAAATTAGAAGTACTAATATGCAAAAAATTGTTTTGCTCTTTAGTGTCTATTTAGAGAATGGAAGTGTACTTAACTTTACGACAAAACTGCCGCAGGAATTAAACATTCAGTTTTTAGACCTAAGGCTAACGCTTTACTCAAACTGGAGAGAGACAGCTAAAACTAAATTGGGAGCAGTTTCTGGAGCAGCGAAATTTCAATTTTGGAGCAATTAGAAGCCTTTACTAAGTTGTCCTGGGAGCTTAAAAATACCCATGTTTAGCAACTTGGGGGCACCAGTGAATACTTTAATTTGCTTATAATACACACTACACTGAAACAGATTTTGAAGGAAGTTTTTGAACAGATGATCGCTAGGTATGAACTGCCCTACTTTTTTACATACCACACCCGTGACCTATCTAGCCCTCAAAATACGTAAAATAATATCTAAAAAAAGGTTTTGTTGAAAGCTAGGTTCCGCAGAGACAATTAAAAAGAACACATCACACTCGAAAAGAAATTAAATAATTGTGATTGCACAAGAATCTTAGTGACGTATGAGTGATTGTTCGCTTAAGAAAAAGCCTGACATGACAGCTTCAAGAGCTTCTAACAAACAGAAGCATGCTGCACTGCCGTTCGCGGTCACCTCATGCAGGACCAACTCCAAGAATGCAGCGTGAGATGCAAGAAATCTTGCCGCATAGACTATCTCATAAAGCATGTGCATATGGCACTAAGTGATGAGCGAGTAATACTGATAATGCCTCTCCACATGAGCAACCACGTGTTATTATAGCACAAGTTGGCCAGTGTTGATATTTTTTCAATATCTATAGGTCATCATTGTCCATGAAGAACTCTCAACAATACATCGGCTTGCGATTGCTGCCCGTGCCGCTCCGTGACTCGCGTGAATTGCTCGCGTGCCACAGGTTAAAAAATCTCTGTATTACGCAAACAAAACGCTGATTTTTAGAGAGGCGGGTTTTATTGCAAAAAAAGGAGAAAAGAAAGAAAACGAAGTCACACGCCACCAACCGAAACACTGATTGAGATAAGTCACAAGCTCGTGTAGCCCAGGGTCGGCACGCATGCAGCAACACCTCTATAAGCACTTGTTGCGAGTTTCGATTACAAATGAAGCAGTGGCAAATTGCCATTATTGAAAACTGTGTCAAGTGATTGCCGATGTGTAAGGATTCACGAATAAAGCACCAAGGTGCCCGTTAATATCGTTTACAATGGCTTGAACACTCGCTTTGTCACCACGGCTTCGCATCTAACCAAGTGTTTCTCTCTACCTGCAAACATTGATGTGCGGATTTCACTTGTGAAGGCTTCTTTAAATATAAAATGCAATGAGAACTCTCGCCAGTCTAAATAAATTAGTAGCTAATGGGTGTAAAACGGGAATAGGCTGCACACATTCTGCCACTCACGGAACCCATTTTGAGAACCCATGTGCACGTGCCAGAGCATCCGGGAGACGCGTTGGATGCAGGGAAAAAATGACTCCACGTTTACAGTTACTCGCTCACAGCAAACACGTACTCGTAGGTGACCACATGCAGCAGTGTCAACATGAAAGCCACAGTGCCTGGAATGCGCTATGCACGACAGAGAACAGGAGAGTCAACCCCACTATGCTTGCCACCAAACTCGGTGGTTTTCGCTAGCCGACAGTGGCACTAGAACACACAGCCTAGCTAGTAGAAGCAGTAGCTTGATGCACGGCAGCACATTTTTATGAGTCACGCATATTTGCTAAAGTTTAAAGATTATGGCGGCACCATGGGAGCCTTTGTCACCAGAAATGTAGAAAGTAAAAAAGAAACACAATTGGGTGCATCTTATTTGTCAAACTCGCCATTTTTCCCCCACTGAAGCTGAAGTCGGCATCAAAATTCTAGCTTTCGAGGCTGTTTCGGAGCAGTTCGGTGCAATTTTCCTGATTACTATGCTTTTAGAGCAGCTTGGCGCAAAAAAACAGAACTATATAAAAAATGCGCAATGTGAGCAGCTGTCTCACTCCTTACCAATGCATGCGTGCTGGCAGTACAGGCCCAGGTCGCAACAGCCTCGTTTGCCTTACACATTAGCTTATTCCAAAGTGATCGAAGGTGGATTGGCTGCATCTTTGGTACAGGAGGCTGTGTGCAAGTCATGTGTGCACAAGGTAATGAGCAGTGTTTATGTTCAGATCCAGAGGTTTCCAACAGCAGGGTTTCCAGATTATGCGGCCACTAGATCCTGCAAAAAGGTGGTGAGATGGATCAAACATTTCAGCAAATGCGAAGTCTGTGAGAAAAATAATGAAAGCCACTTTAGCCTGCTGCCCTACGTTCAAGTTCTTTATTAATACAAGCTCTTATTAGTAAATGAAAATACACAACACTTGTTAGACTTGTTCACAAGATGGCACATAATTAAGAGTGTCGCATCCAGATATGATGTGGCAGTGGCTCTTAAGAAGCTGGGCAGCACTTGCACACTTGTTAAGCTCGGGGCCAAAGGCAAAACCAAAAATAAAGGTGAATGTGATCAGAAACACCGCAGCTCCTCCATTCCTTGTTACAGGAGTAGTGTACAAGATTCCTCAGTCATGCGCCAACAGTTGTATTGGTCAGACTGGTAGGTGCATGTTAGATTATGGGGGCACCAGAAGAAATGCGAAAAGAATGTCCAAATATCAAACTTGTTTGCTTATTGAACACAACGTCACTGAAAGCTACTGTTTAACAAGATCAGGGGTGCAACAGCCGAAATACAACTTGGAGCAATTTTAGGAGCAGAAAAATATTACTTTTGAAGCACTAAAATGTAAATTTTGAGCAGGTTACAGGGAAAAAGATGCTCAATTTTCATCACTAGATACCAAATTTTGAGCAGTATAAATAAGAAAGCTTAAATTTAGAAACAAAATAAGTATAAACCATTCGACATCACCTAAATTGTGCAGTGTAAACATGAGCACTGCTGTTTTAACGAAAGTGGTATTTTGATCCACCCCACTAAGCCAACAATTATGAAGTCCATATTAGCATTTGCTGTGCCTGTAAAATCATTTGACAGATTCTGCCAATTTAAATATGGATCTGCCAAGCTTGCGACCATGAAATTAGGGAGATTCCTGAAACCGAAAAGCAGAGGCGGTGAAAGAAAAAAAAAAAACTAGCGAGCAATTTAGTTTTAGTTTTTTTTTAGGGAAGCAGAAATGTCATACACTGCTCCAAATTATTTCCAGTAGCATATTTAGACATCAGTGATTACACTGATACTCATCACTACTCATGCGTACAAACGCATGAGTAAGTGAACATTATGTGCAGTGTCCCGTGACTAGGGATAACAGCCCCTTCCAAATCTCAATACGCTTTTCCATAAAGCACCGGTGTAAAATGGCAAAGGTGGCCTATTCAGGATTCCCTGCACGGGTTAGAATTCCAACGTCCCACCTTGTTTTTGTTTTGTTTTTTTTCGCCACCATGGGGTTAGGTATCGCTTCGGCTCTCCCTCGAAGGCGCGTTCGGCCAGGTAAAGTAACAACGGCGTGCACCCGTTGACTTAGCGACGGTACCGCAGATGTCCATCGCCAGGACCGTGTCCGGGACGATGCAACTTCAAGACAAAACAAGGGGAGGGGGGGGGGGGGGGCTCAGAGCTTTCAATGGAATAGGGAGTGTCCAGTTTTTTTTTAAGCTTTATTCATGAACTGTGAGATATTTCACGGCAGCTTTTAGAAGATGAATCAGTTTCGAAGCTTACGAAGTTTTCGCCTGTAGATCAAAACAGCATTAAGATGAAGTGACAGTGGCTACGGGCCCATCCTACAGACGTAATCTATAAGCAAAGAACCCTGTGAGCTGAGGCCACAGATGGCAGAGGCCTTGCCAGAAATTTTTTTCGAAGGGGCGTCACCTTGATTAGAATGGGTCCCAGCTAGGCAAGTAGACAGATGTGATAGACCGTTATTTTCTGCTCCCCTATATACCATAGGAAAATATTGGGAGGGCAGAGGCAGGGGCCTGGTGTGCCACCCCTGGCTACGCTACTGGTGGACGGAAACCAGTGTGGTCGAGTACACACAAAGAAAAGGAGAGCCGGGGAGGAGGGTGAGAGTTGCACAGGCTACTGTTAGGTTGCCTTGTCGAGAAAAGTAGCTCTAACTGGAGCGGCAGATGTATGATGTAAGAAAGAAGGTTGCGTCCAACGTGCTGGCCGAACACACAGAAGCAACTGGCGACGAAATAGACTGGAATAAGGTGAAATTACCAAAATAAGGGGAAAAGAATTGGACTTCCGGGCTATATCTAGACTCTCTCACAATTCAGACAACAACGGGGCACATTCTTGAGTGTAATGACAATGACAGCAACTTCCCCCAGATATACACACCTACATCCTATTTTGAAATATATATAATTGGTCTGTTCGCACATTAATTATTAGTTATGACAAGGCTCCCGTGCGGAAACCTAAATGTTCCGCTTTTATGCGAGCATTCATGGTCGGTGCTCATATTAACCCCATAGTTGAATAACAACCACAACACAAAAAGAGAGAAGACAGTGGCACTGCAAGCCGCCGTGAGAGTACCCTCACGTATGTAGGGCACTGTGGCATGTCGCCCGTAACTTTTGCTGTCTTTCCGGATCGTGTAGTCTGCAGAAGTCCGCACACATGAAGCCAGAGCAAAACAACGTTGTTCGAAAATGAAGACACTGCAAAGTCACGGTAGAATCACACATGCAACCACCAGCTTTCCTTTGCCAGTGCAAGGCGAGATCACGTGATCCAACCCTGCACGTCACAGCGATTGCAACACTCGCGCCTCCGGTGGTGGGCCTCATGCCCAATATGTTAGGGAAACTGCATGACCGACCCTTGGTACACTGAACGGTGCAGCAAGCAATAGAGGAAGACAAGTGGTCGGTGCAGGGTGAATCAGTGGCCGAAAAGACAGTGACAAGAGACTTTTCGAAAACAGTCAACCATAGATTCTTGGCTCTCTAACGCATTTGTAAGTAGTGCAAATAAACATCTTGTATATTAGAGATACCAAATGTCAGTGAATTGATGAATCAAACCCTTTTGTAACATACTCTTTCCTGTCATGCAAGTTTTGGTTCATGTCAAACATTAGTTGGCAAAAAATTAGAGCTCACTCAAACTCACTTATACATACTTCGCGCCTGGGGCTCATTCTAACCAACCAAAGTTTTCTTAAACCAGACTCGCTCGGCCTCAAGCTCGCTAAAATATTACTCACCCTTACTCACTCAAGAACATGGCTTATTTGAGTATGAGCGAGTCTCGACTAAGTCAACTCATAAGCGAGTTGCTGACCTAAGGTGTCAAGTTAAGGAGACGATCACAGAGTGCCCAAAACTTAATAGGCTAGATTAAATTGATCGATCAGATAGATACTACACAGACCGACTGACAGACAGATATGGTTAAGGTGCTTTTAGTTCGCTAAAAAATGCTCTACTTTAAAGAGCAAGTGACTACCAGGAGCTCAGCCCTTAAAAAAAGCGTCACTTTGAGACTTCAGCTTTTCTGGTTTCTATGAATAGAAAGCACTCACGAGACATTTTGAAACTTGCCACTCTGTACAAGCACTGCTCTTCAAGCAATAGCCAACACACTGCCCTAAACAAGCCTTGGAATGCAAACCACAGGTCAACAGAATGAGAAAAAATGAATTCCTTGTTATTATGGCAGGACGACAACACTTGGTAGGCTGAAAAAAGAAATAATTGGAAAACTGATGTGCTTTTGAAACACCCGACAGCGTTGTACAGACCTTGTGTAGAATCTGCTGCCATCTACCAGACACCGAGGGCATCTCTGCAATGTTGAAGGCTCGGCGCGCTCCACCTGTGCAGGCACGGAATGTCCATATTAACGTGTGGTGGCAGATAGGGGCGGCAATGCCAACAAAGTTTCGTGTGCCATGTTGCTCAGACTGAGGAAACTGGGATGCTAAAAAAATATTTGCAGGAGATTAACCTCTATGTTATTTGACTTCCTCCTGGCTGACGCGAAGGGCCAGATCTGTTGCTCATTTTGCTGCTTACAATTAAATGCCTGTTTATGTTCTTCGTTCTATCCAGATGTGGGACAGCATAGGCACTCGTCACAGCACGCTCTTTTATGCCATGCCAGAATGAAACGGTTTTGGCACCGTGTGAATGCAGGCACAGACAAACCGGCCTTGTGCACAAGCTCCGAAGTTGCACCACGGCTACTCATGCTTGCCTCTGCTGCTGTTTACAGCATTACTTTGTCGATTACATTGCGATAACAATTACATATTAGCCACGTAGCTTTTGCATGTCTTCGATTCTCATCTAATGGAATGGTTGTGCTCGAACATGTTGCGTACAGTTACTTGTTTATTGTGGAGTTTAATAAGGTAACATTTGGTGGTGTGGTTTGCACACGTATTGCTTCACTATGTGTACTTTTTCAAGGATTCCATGTGCTCTTTCAGAGGAGGCGGCCAATTTCATAAGGGCAAACCGAATGCTGTGACCCTCCGCCTGTTATTTTTTTATACCCCAAGAAGAGTAAATATGTTATTCCAAATGATAATCCTCCTTCATGAAAAATCTTGTATCCACCTTTGTGTGCCGCAAAATGTTAATAGATGTCTCAAGTGTGTCAACACTGTTGAAAACTGAAAAAAATGCTGTTCTGGCAAATCTGTTACCCTTAACTGTGGGTGCGCTCCCACTGTTTAGGCACAAAGGTGGTTTTGCAAATGTTCAGTAGGCGATACACAACTACCCCGCTGCAAACGGCGCGAAACTGTAAGGTGCAAATAAGCCCCGAAAGTGATGACGTGAACCCAAATATTTTACACCTACTGTGCTGTTTACGAGCACATGCCCCCCCAAAAGGGTATTCAATGAAATACCAGCTAATCAGCACCTACTTAATGGATACGCCTTTCATTTTTCTTTTCCCGCACAGAAGACTTAAAGTTTAAAAGATTTTACTTGTGTGTTAATGCTATATATAGCGTACGTTGACGACTACAGCAGCAAAGCATTATTTATTTGAAATGTAGACAAAGAGTAAAAAGTTTCATTTCAAGTTAGATGTGTGATAAATTGGAGGGGCTATTTTGTAAGTATTCTATCTAGAACAGGGCAGACATGAAACAAAAGAATGAAATGGAGCCACACTAGATTGGTCAAGGCTATTCTCATAGTCTAGACATGAGAATAGCCATGGAAGGTGCATAGAACGGGTGGAGGCCGCATTGCGTCAATAAAATGAAGCCAAAATGGCATCCGAACAACATGGATTCGATTGAAATAAAGCACTTGAGCCCAAAGAATCGAATTAGCCTGTTTTGCACCCCACTTACCATAATCCTGCTGCCAAAATCACAACAAAATGACTCCTCCGAATTGCAACGCCACCTAGCATCTACTCAAGACACAAATAAATGGCTGAAGTCATCTCAGTCTGCAATTTCAAGCTTTGAAAAACAACAAGCGCCACTATTGATGATGTGCTGTATTCATTTTATATTTTTACATGTGTTGAAAGCATTTCCAAATTCTCTTAGCTTGCCTACAAGCTTTTTGATCCCTCTTGTTCTTTCATTCTATCTCCTCTCATTCTAAATAAAACACTTACAAATTGACCCCTACATCGACATAGGCCATTTCTAGTAAATTATGCTTTGCAATGGTGTAACAGAGCTTCCTTAGGCCCCAGCTGTGTCTCGCTCTTCTCACCTCTTCTCAGACATCCTGCATTGTTCCTCATGAATAGCAAATAACTAAAGCAATCCTTATTTTAAAAACCGGCGAGTGCTCCGGTCCATTTAAATGGCCCCTAAACAACCTCCTATAATATTTTTCAAACGTTCGAAGTAAACACGTGCACATATGCAAAATGCTGCATAATCTGTGATTTTCCACGTGGCAGCGCAACAAGCCGCCAGTGCTCTACAAATTCCAAAAAACAATTCCCCATGCCTTTCGGGCTGGCACATGACATCAAGAAGTTGAATCTGACGTGCAGAATAAATATGCTGCAATTGGTCAAGCACCTATGACTTTCTGTTAGCCTGCAAGAAGCTGTCCACGCCACTCGTCGTTTGTCGTGATGCCCGCATGCATGCAAGTGCTTGCAAATCAGGTACTGTGGTCCATAGGACAGGGTTCATACCGGCACTATTCCTATAAGCACCGGCTGGCACAGCAACAGATTCGCCAACAAGCACAAAGTTGACAGAGGGCGGAGTGGCGGCAACCGTAACAAGACAGTGTTTGGAGCAATATGTCATCGATGATGCATGCCGCGCAAGATTGGGGGAGGTGCTTGGCAAAAGGGCAAAGCGGCTTCGGGAGAGGTACCAACGGAGGGTAGTGAAAAGAAGAATGAAAGGAGCGATTACTGTGCTTAGATAATCAAACACATTTAACTCCGCTATTACAGCACCGTTTCAAAAAAATTTTAACAGCTTTATGGTTGTTGTGCCCTTGCGCACAACTTCTTCACCACAACTGAATTCCTACCTCTGGGTGGTTAAATATTGCATCTGGTTTCTGGCTGCATGCAGTATAGCACATATTGTGTGCCAGCACCAGCACTGTTCAGGTATTAAAATAATCCTTGGTGCATGACTGTGAGATTGGTGGCCTCGAAATCAAGCGACAAATGTTTAGACCAGCAATGCTATTTCCACTGATACACACTGTCAAACGTGGGAATCTGGTGCAGCATGGCATAATCTACATTGATTTTATTAGGATGGTGCAGGAAACTTAGTTTGGCAAATATATGGGCAGAAGCAGCATCACTAGATGGAGAATGGGAGGCTTTTACATTATTAAAACCACACAAAGCTAACAGACAAGGCAAACATAGGAATTCATATGAATTATTACTTGAAATTTCATAATTTCTTTCTGACTCGCCACGAGTGAATTTTCAAAGCGAACTGAAAGGTATTGTTTGGCTTGCAAAGCAAGCAAAAACGAAAAAGTAAGTGTAAGTCAGGCCTCTTTTTGTTGTCTGCCAAGCTAACCACGCTAGTAGCAACATAATCACCACCTCAACTTTCTTTGCTGCGAAGTAACTGACAAATGTTGATGCCACTTTGATTTACTCGTATTGATGTCACGAAGCTTTTAAACGTCGCTGCTCATTATATCTAGTGTAGCTAGCAAGTTACACAAGCCTTGTCTAGCGTACTAACCTCCCACACAGAGAACTTCCTGTAGTTGCAATGGGCCACACTCCACATAATGGCCACGTTGAACCCATGGTAGACTGCAGTAGTTGACTTTGTTTTAGGTGCATCGTAAAGATGTGGTTATGCAAAATGGTGCGACGTGTGCTACGTGTATGCACCATTTAGCTCACACTGCCGATACACTGCACAAGTTTGACACCCAGGCACATAAAAATAGCATTGGTGACAGGAAGGCGCTTTTCTAAAAGATACCCGAGACATAGGCAGACGACATAGGCTCCCGTCATGTTGCGGTAAGCTTACACAAGTTGCACATTAAAATATTACCTGCACTCTACTATGTACCCTCGAATCGAAAGAAAAAAGGTCGATGACTCGGGTCGCTCGTACGCGCCTAGCCGCGACTGTTCGTCCTACTTACTCGCCGAATACTCGCGCACTACGGCGAGCGGTCGATTAAGATGCACGTGACAGGTATGAACAACAAGGCACTCGTACAGAAGAACAGTAACTTATACTCACAAATGTAACCTGGCTCGTCGCTGCCGTTGCTGAGGCAGCTGAAATTTTCTTTTTTCTGCCCAGAATCCGGCTGACGAAATCATTGTTGCCAGGTCTTCGTAAGGGAGCGTCGATGAAATCGGACAAAACCGCCCGAAATGTGGCCAGGGAAGTATTTATTCACAACAAAACTACAAATGATTTCATGCCTCCTTAACAAAAGTGATATTTAGCACTCGGAAAGGCAGCGGTGGTGTAGTGAACCAGCAAATGTCAAAATCTACTGTCGCTCAGCTTGGCGAGCTGGTATCACGACCGAAGTCGTGGTTGGCGCAAAAGACTGTGAAACGAAATTTTTTTAATGAAGTAGCATGCAATTGATAGCTTTTATACAGCACCAGCTGTCTGTATAGCCAACGAAACAAGCGTACTACTTCTTACGACTGTGCTAAGCTTGCGTTGCGTGTCACACGGACACCTATTATAGTGGAAGGAATAAGACGGTCGCGATCTGCGCATCGCAATTTCCGACTGTCATGGCGGGATTTAGCTAACGTCTTCGCCAAACGTTTGCGTGATTCTGCGCCAAACATAACCGGAGGGGTCTGATCACGATCAAAAGACACCGTTACAAAGAATCAGCAAGAAAAATCAGGTGATCCTCGCAAAATCACGAAAATCAGCATCAGCTGATCCGATTGCAGCCTATATCATTTCATCATGCCGCAGTTCCGGATGGTATGCAGCTGCAGTAGTCTTGAACTCGACATGCGTGAAAAGCCACGGTTGTACGTGCGAGAATGACGCGTAAATACCAAGCGAGAATGACGGCCCTAAAGAGGCGAAGAAGCGCACAATTTTCGTCCTATTTAAATTAAGTGGTAGTCTAAGGTGCTAGGCGTTGCCACAAGGTTGGGTTCAAACTATACAATTCAATACAATAATACCGGTTCAGCCACACCATGGGTTCGATGCTTCACCCAGAAATAAACACTAGCTACGCCCTTGATACGTGACCCAGCATGGTCACACGTGTATGTAGTTTTAATCTCGGATACACCTCGCTTTGATTGCGACATACGCCAGACCGCGTGAACACAATACGGCAGCTCGTAAAATACAATAACTAAGCGTATACATGTGCATGCTTCTTTAGTAAGAAGTGTGCAAAGCCATAACAGTCCACCTAAGCCTGTCCACTATTAACTTAGTCCTAACAACATTACATTTATACACTCTGGAAAAGTACCTGATTATGCTACCAGCGAGCGTATAAGCAAAACATCGCAAAAATAACAAGGACTATGGAAGAGTGTGCACAAAACGAGCGCTAATTTTCAGCATTTTTACAGCTTAACCACTAAGGAAAGCTCTGCATCGGTGCGAAGCGATCGGCCAGATTATTACTCGTGTTTTAAGGCACAGCAATTGTACCTGCTTCTTTTCGTTGCAACGATATTATAGCGCACTACATTATAACTGTTTCATATATTAAACTGCGGAGCCACCACAACAGTATGGGATGGTTCTAATTGAGAAAGAGCTCTAGTCTCAGGGCTCTGATGACAGAGAAATAAAGAAGAAATAATTTTGCATATGGCAACTCAGCCATGAAATTGGTGTACTACATAAATTGTATTAGAAGCACTGTCTCAATTTGGCTGCAATTCAAAAGAATTTTCGAGGCAGCCATACCAAATTACGCATATATTTACAGATTTTGCCGACTTCACTCAGCCCAATGTGTGCTGTCTGTTGGTGTTACTGTGTTCTGCGAATGGTGCTGAAGTCTAAATCAGGATGCTGACGGCATAGCACCAACAGTCAACTTAGCCTAGCTGTTTTAACCCAGCGCCTCACATTCGTATATGATGTCACAGATATATGATGCAGCAATTTCCTCCGAAATTGGCCTCATGTGGTTGAACCATCAAATGTTTTAAGAAGATGTGTAGTGAGTGAGTGAGTGAGAAAGGAAAGGCCGGGAGGTTAACCAGATATTGGCATCTGGTTTGCTACCCAGCGCTGGGGGTGGGGAAGTAGGGGCAAGAAAGAGGGGTTAGAGAGAGGGAAAAAAAAACGCACGCGCACTCATAAAAAAAAAAACGAAAACACACACTGGAAGGGCGTCCCAGCTACAGCCGTTCAGCAAGGCCGGTCAATCGCAAAAAGTGCAGCAGCGCTTTCAGGGCCCTCTTCTGTGAAGTCGTATCCTGACGATACTGCAGAATTTCCTGCTCCGACAGAGGCTGATCATCTAATTTGTGGAGTTCCCTGCGAAGGCATAGTCGCCACCTACTATACGCAAGGCACTCACAAAGAACATGTTGAATGGTTTCCTCCTTGCCACAGTGGCCACAGGCTGCGGTGTCTGCCATCCCAATGCGGAAAGCGTAGGCGTTGGTAAATGCAACGCCCAACCACAGCCTACATAATAGGGTCTGGTCTGCTCGGCGAAGCCTCGACGGGACTTGAAGACTTAGCGTAGGGTCAAGCGAGTACAGTCGGGCATGCTTGAAGTGCGGCTGATTCCATTGCGATGTGGTTTGCCGGCGAGCAAGTCTGCGGAGCTCTCGTGCAGCATCCGTCCTAGAAAGTGGTAGTCGCAGTTTATGATTTTCTGTGTGAGCTGAGCGGGCAGCTTGATCGGCCCGTTCATTGCCGATGATTCCGCAGTGACTGGGCAACCACTGAAATGTAATTTGGTGCCCTTTCTCAGTCAGGTGGTGTATAATCTCTGCTATCTCTAGTACCAGCTGCTCGTGTGGTCCACGGCGTAAGGCTGATAGTAGAGACTGCAGTGCCGCCTTCGAGTCGCAGAAAATAGTCCACTTGCGCGTAGGCTGATCAACTACAAATTGCAACGCGGCACGAAGTGCTGCCAATTCTGCTGCCGTTGATGTTGTTGAGTGAGATGTCTTGAATTTAATTGTCGTGGCCAACCTTGGTATCACTACTGCTCCTGTAGAGCTGTCCGGCTGAACCGATCCGTCAGTGTAGATATGTGTGGAGTCTTGATATTTCTCATACAAGAGAAGTAGTGTGAGCTCTTTAAGAGCCGGTGACGACAAATTGGCCTTTTTCTCGACGCCAGGTATGTTAATATTAATTATTGGTTGAGCGAGGCACCATGGCGGAGTCACAGGTCTAGCGGCAGGAGAGAACGAAGTTGGGATCGACTCACCATGTGCGGTCACTGTTTTGCAGTAAGATGTGCATGGTCGGACCACTGGTAGATAGGCTAGGTGATGTCGAGGGGTTCGAGCAAGGTGTCGTATATGTGTCCTCAGCACTTCCACATTAATGTGGGTCTTGATGAGGTTGTCCCTTGTGATGGCGATAGTCGCCGCTGTTGATGCACTTTGGGGCAAGCCTAAACATATCCGGAGTGCTTGAGCCTAGACACTTTGAAGCATTCGTATGCTTGTTTTACTTGCGTTGGTTAACACAGGTAGGCTGTACCGAAGAAATCCAAGGAAAAGAAACCTGTATAGTCGCAACATAGCAGTTGTGGACATTCCCCAGTTCTTTCCAGCGAAGAACTTGAACAAATGACAGATGCCTGTCGATCGCCTTTTCATGTATGATACATGTAAGCTCCATGAGAGGTCTCTGTCAATTATAACACCTAGGAACTTGTATGATCTGAGGTGACGTATTCTTTCACTGTTTATCAGAACGCTGTAGTTATGCATTGGTTTGCGCGTAAATGCCACTAGTGCACATTTCTCAGAGGAAATTTCCAGACCTCGTTGACGGAGGTAAATAGCAACTTGAGTGGCAACTCTCTGAATTCGCGCTTGCAGCTGTAGACGTGTTACTGCAGACGTCCAAACGCAGATGTCGTCCACGTACATTGACAATCTGACAGTACTTGGCAGATGCTCATTTAGAGCTATTAGCGTCAGGTTGAATAGTACAGGGCTAAGTATGCCACCCTGAGGAACACCACGGTGGCTGTAGTGTAGCGAAGTGTCACCATCCTCGGTTCTCACGAAAAAGGATCGCTCAGAGAGATAGCTGCGTATCCACTGAAACATCCGACCACCCACTCCTACCTCCTTGAGAGCGGTGAGGACAGCTTCATGTGTGACGTTATCGTACGCCCCTTTAACATCAAGAAATAAAGAAGCGCAGAGACGCTTACGGCCTTTTTCGTGTTGCACGTAGGTGACCAGGTCTATGACGCTATCAATTGATGACCGGCCACGGCGAAATCCCGTCATAGCGTCCGGGTAGATGTTGTGATGCTCCAGGAACCATTCTAGCCGTCCAAGTACCATCCTCTCCATCACTTTGCCCAAGCAACTAGCCAGTGCAATCGGGCGGTATGATGTGAGCACCAATGGTGACTTGCCAGGCTTCAGTAATGGAACCAAACGGCTGGTCTTCCAGTTAACTGGGAGGGTGCCCTCTCGCCACGAATCGTTGTATATCTCGAGGAGGGCAGTCCTCGCACACTCACCAAGGTGACACAGTGCTCTGTATGATATTCCATCAGGCCCGGGTGCTGACGTCCGTCTACACAAAGCCAGTGCTGCTTGAAGCTCATGAATAGAAAAAAATTGGTTCATGGGGTGATCGTGTGATGTCGTGCCACCGCGTGAGAGCGTGGAGATGTTGGGATCTGCGAGTTGACCAGATAAGT